TGAAATACCTCCCACCAGACCTCGTGGCACCACAGCAACGGTATTTCATAGCTTGTTATTGATAAGTATGGGTACATCTACAAAGTAAGCAAACGATATAATATCAACCCACTTTACTCATACTCCTCATTATTCACGCGAACTTCGATACAAAACACGTGCCGTTTATACATGTTTATTATTCATGTTATTAATGATCAAACAATCTAAGGCGTATGTAAACATGGACACTGGTGCATATGTCCATAAAACATATTCTGTTACAGCTTTTTCCACAAACGTGATAATTATCTACTAACAGGGCACGGCATGTCTAATCGAAACACACTCACGTGAACTGAGCTTTTCTCTGCTTAGTATTCTTCAAAGAGATATTTGGACTTCTTTCTGGTGGCCCATAAATGACAGCACTGAGCGAATGAAGAATTGGCGAGAACTCGTCTAAATACCTCCCCCTTTTTCATCGCAGACATTATTCCTGGAGTAACCGTTTCCTGAGAATGCTCAGGAAGGCCTTCTGATCATAAATCTTCTGTAGTGAGTGATTCCACCAACAGGGGAAGCCACAAATCAACGTAAGACAAATGGCCGCCTTCGTCAGCGGTCAATCACGTGGTGCCCACATTCCAACATCCGAATGCTACTGAAATGGTTTGTAAGTTTCAATCAAACTAGAAATGACTTGGGTTTCTGGACCAAATACCTGGAATTGTTGAGTTCTTCTCGTCTGGTGATGTACGCCAGCGTTGACATGATCAGAAGTATTTCAAGGAAAAGAGGATTCAATGACAAATTCCTACTTTTCGTATTTCTGATTCACAATGGAGATGATGATAGGTTGATGAGGGTTGTACAAAAACCCGGAGTTAACAGATATCCGAAGTTTGGAATAAAATAATGAAAATTTACCACTTATTGTATTATGAAACAACCCTGTCGTTATTTATTAAAAAAACCGTTAAGTTATATTTTATTATTATACATAGGTAGGGTTAAGTTAGCCCAGCACCATGATTGTGGAATATATTTATTTTATGAAAAATAAAATAATCTAGAAACGCATACAAAAGCAAGTCAAGCCAGCTCGCTGGCTCTGTTTCCACGTATGAAATCAGCATAGGGAATTTTTTTCAAGCCAAGAAGTATATTGTGTAATATAAGATTTCATAGACTAAATGTTGGTCTAGGGTTACGTCTTTGAATGGCATTTAGAAGTGAAACACACGAGGAAGAGAATTTACTTATAGATAGGGTTGTTTTACACTAGTCAAGTCAAAGATGTTTATTGTATCAAAGGCCATCGGCCCATATACAAGTTCAGATAAATACAGTGGGTGAGAATTTACAGATTGGGAGATACAACAAAAATTATATAAATATAACATTCATTTAACAATCGGTGATAATCATGAGGGCTTTCTAGGGTGAGGTAATTAAAATTATGAATTTCCACTCAACATGTTATTTCGTAGTTCCATCCCATGTTTTACAAATAAAGACAGTTTAAACATTACATCGGCATCATTCGATGACAAAATAGAAACAAAAGCTATTCTACTCGTCTTAGATAAGAAACATTCTGGTATATATTTAGTACGTAATTCTGCATAATAAGGACATTCAAAGGTAAAATGTATTTCGCCTTCTATTGCAGAGTTACAGAATGGACAAATTCTTTGTATTCTTTCAAGTGATATATTCCGTCCATAGTTAATCATAAGTTTTGACAAGCCAAGTCTAAAGAAGACAAGAATGCCGCACTGTAAAGAATGTATGAAGAGCCTAAACACAAACCTTAAGCATGTGTTTGTGTCTGGAGGGGGAGGATATACTCACCTTTTCTGGAACACCTGGTATCATCATTCTATTATTGTGATTCATAGAGGCCTGCACATGATATGGTCGGAATTGTACAATCGACTCTACTTTTGACAGAGATTTCTTTTGAATATGGAAAAGGAGGAGTCGATTCTGTTGAACAGCTAAACATCTTAAGGGTACAAACGTTGGAGAGAGCCGTTTTCCAGCTTGAAATTCATTGTAGGTAATTTAAACTATGGGCGCTTTCTTTATATTTGGTGTTTTCATTCGGGTTTAATGGGGTTATCGACGATTTAACGATTTAAACACATTCCTAAACATGTTTAAATCTAAACATGTGTTTATGTGTACATTCTAAAAACAGTTTTCAGGTCTTGTCTCACGAAACTATTGTGAGTTAATTTAAGTTGATGGAAATTTGTTATAATTTATCATGGTAAAAACACTTTGCATGTTAATCTGCAGTTGGGAAAGACGTTAAAGATACTACTTGTTCTTACTATGTGTGACGCTTTAAAGGTTAAAACAAGGACTGGTCGGCTCGGAGTCAGTATACTGTGTCACTCACACATGTGCATGCACGTCGCTATGTAAGTACAATAATCTTTGAGTGAGTGAGTGAGTGAGTATGGTTTTACGCCGCTTTTAGCAAAATTCCAGCAATATCACGGCGGGGGACACCAGAAAAGGGCTTCACACATTGTACCTATGTCGGGAATCGAACCCGGCTCTTCGGCGTGACGAGCGAACGCTTTAACCACTAGGCTACCCGACCGACCTCAATTATCTTGGACGCGACGTTAAATCCCATTTCGCCTCACCCCGCCTTTAAATATTAAAGACAAACTTAGAGCTTATTCAGGATTTAAATTTGTCTTTAGTGTGTCTACACTCCCGATGGCATTTCAATGCCGCCAATACATTAGTGACTGCTCTGTGCATGAGGTTGTGCACTTCAAACCTCAAATGCAAGTTCTGTGCAGTTTTTTCTCAAGTTGGTTCTCCAGTAAAACGTTCTTTGTAGTTTTCGTCATGAATAAAGATGAAATACAATCGCGCCATCGAATGCCTCGACCGCTGGCATGAATACAATACCTTCTTCTTTATCTGGTGCCTTCCTCCAACTTCAAGGGAACCCTAAACCTTTTCTGAAAAAGTAAACCTTTAGTCCTGGCTCAAACAATATTAATTAGTAATACACATTTTCCATTATGAACGCGTGAAGATATTAAAAATGCTTCAGCGGAAATAATAAACTTGGCTCGAGGCCAGATCAGCATAAACCCAAATCAAAAGGCACATCAACCACACAACCTGATTTCAACCGACAACTACTCTACGCAACGATGAACTTGTCATCTTTGATTAGAACAAAACGCACAACACGTGCGCACCGTCATCGTCACGTGACCTCAGGCAGTTCCGGTGAGCGAGACACCATCGTCTGTTCTCGGAGCGCAATGTCGTGACCTTCTGCTTCAATCAGCACACATCGGCTCCTTCCGTCCACGCGGTAATGCATGTAGGATAAGTACAGATTGTATTACCGGTAGGAGCGAGTCTGTCGTCCGTATCGCGCCATCTCGGACTCATTTGGTTTGCAGATTATTATGCGAGATTTTACGAGATATTTTAGAGACAGTTAGCGCAACTGACAGATCAAAGCTCGAGCGACAGGAAATTAACGCTGACAAAAAAATATGTGGGATAAAAGATCAAAGTGCTGAAGCATCAGCTGAGCGTTCGGACTGTGAGCATGTCAGTCCCGTTGATGGAGGGTGACATGTAAAAGACAACTCATGAGTTGTGTTTAAAGCGGATGGGGAACGAGAACCTTCTTTCCCCGTTACAGAACGTCTGGAGACTCTCATCATTCATTGTAAATGATGCTTCGGAGTTAAGACACGGGTAAAATGATACCGGTTGTGTTAGTAAATGTATTACACCGAATTGGATTTATATATTGTTTTTCGTTCTTTTGAAGTTACGCGATTAATACACACCCTGGCGAACACATTTTGTGCTTCCTATTTTGACGTGTCGGGGGAAATGGCTACTTCTGTCTCAGTTAAACATATTACTCTCGTTATGGGTTTTGTTCGAGTGAGATTGCGTGTCTGGGTCTTTTGAAGTGGGCATTTCAAGAAGGTGTTGCTGTAAATTTTACAGAATTTTTCTCCCAGACGAAAACAGTTAAAGTACTTTCTACTGAAGAATGACATTATTTATATAGAACTGTATTATAAAAAAAAAACTGTAATATGTTATATTGGTATTGTTCACATTACGATAAACTAATTCGATAGGCTTGGTTTCGCTCGCGTTCATATAAATATGCTAATGAGGTCACCGTTGCAAGACATGCTTAAACTCCATTCATAGATGCAACACCACCACCCCTACCCACCCTCATATGAGACACCCCCAAGTTTTTGAACATCTAATTTTATTTAATAACTACAGTTAGTCTGTCATAATTAACGTTTGTCATGTGAAACAATGAGATGTTCTAAAACTGTTTTGAGTAGTACGAAATGTCAAACACTTCACTCCAGGGTGAGTGAGTGAGTATGGTTTTACGCCGCAATTAGCAATATTCCAGATATATCAAGGCGGGGGACACCAGAAATGGGCTTCACACATTGTACCCATGTCGGGAATCGAACCCGGGTCTTCGGTGTGACGAGCGAACGCATTAAGCGCTAGGCTACCCGACCGCCCCTTTTCACTCCAGAGAACACTTACGATACTTACATTTGATTTCATAATCAGTCACCGTAAAAGACAACTCAAATGTTGTTATTATGATGTCATAATGAAACGAGATTATGATGTCATCGTGACGTCACAACGTGTTCAAGATTGCCCAAGCGATTTGGTAAACTGATTTGAATAAAATAATATATCATTCATACATGGTATACATGACATATACCGTAAACAATGTCACTTTGTTAAATGACCGATTAAGGGTCGGTGGTTAAAGCGTTCGCTCGTCTCGTCGAAGACCCGGGTTCGATTTCCCACATGGTACAAAGTGTGAAGCACAGCTGGTGTCCCCCGCCGTGATATTGCCGGAGTATTGTTAAAAGCGGCGTAAAACCACACTCACTCACTGTATGAGTGGTTTACAATACTTACTGACACAGACCGCGTTGATGCCCTGTTCTGCGTTGTACAATATATCCATGTTGTTGATAACGTCAACACGCCACCAGACATTGAGCTGCACTCAACAATGACCTCTGACACATGACTAGTTTCATGTTGTGAGGCATTCATTCACTGAGCCCACCATGAAGCGACTGTATCAGTCTGTGAGGGAGGAATACCCTACCCCCACCCCGGGGAACGTCACAGGTAGGTCTGTCATTTGGGGTGGGGTGGGGTGTTCGTGGCGTCCCTAGTGTGACGTGTACATTACAGGTTGTTATCTATGTGGGGTGGATAGTCAATGGTTATGTGCAAAGTCAGCCGTTTCTCTTTTCATGGCTATGTGGTATGGTTTGTTTTGACAACCATGTCGTATGACTGGGCCTGTCTGTGTCAGGCGTAATAGTGGTAATAAACTGATTTCTATACAGGTGTGTGCAGCCATGTATCAAGGCTGTACTGCACACAAAACCCAGCCTGTGTCACAGCCCTTCAACAATAATATTTTCCCTTCCGCCCAGCCCTAACTGTAATGCTATTTACCTTAATAGAAGCAAGTCTAGGTTTTCCATACGTCCAGGCTGAATCTCCCATCTCACACGGGTTCCTTTTCAATTGAAATGGAGTTGTTTGTATCTTATAATTTATATTCTTCTTATAATATTGTAATTTATATATTTTCAGAGACTGAGTCTAGGGAAAACATAATTTTTATAACTGTATCGCGATATTTAGCAAGGCTAGGCCGACAGTCAGTACACCTATCTTTATTGGAATCACAATTTGATTTCGGAACTGTTAATTTATTAATAATAATTTCCTTAGAAATATATGCAAATCTGACATATTTGAGACCTCCACAATCTTACTCGTACTCGGAACTCACGAATCGAGAAAATATATGTACTTTGTACCCCAGCCCTGCCTTATTGAAAAGGTGATACAGCTAAAAAGAATTTCGATACGCAGACAACTTAATTCCGGCGAGAAGGATTGCGGTGCGTTGTCCAGACCCTGAATGCATGCATGTCTGATTGTCAAATGTCAAGGTCAGCGTCATCTACGTGTCCTAATGAAACCAGGAGTACTGATGTTGTATAACATCTTGTTATCAGCATAGCCTTGGACAACGTGACCTTGACCTCCTTTTTACATAATACCGTAACCTACGCCACGTGATACGGAGTACTGCGGCGAGATGCCAGATAAGCAAGGTGAAGATGAATATATATAAACCCTGATTGTTAGAGCCGAATTTTCGGTATTTGTGGTTCATTGAGAATCCTTTTAATTGGAACTTTGTTAGGGTTTGTATGTGTGTATGGATGCATGTGTTAAGTATAGTTATAAGATAAAACATTAGAAACAGCCAGCCCTTGCTGCCAGTGGCCGTTTCAGGCTATTTTCCCAGGGGTTGGTGACAGCAATAGTATAATGTTGCAGCTAAGACTTTAAAGTTAATTGTTTTGTGTGGAGTCCTAGAGGTCGTGACCTGATCAACAGCGATAAGCATCCCACAAGAATTTCAGATATATAGTTGGACGAATGAGTGTGAGAAAGAGAGCAGATAGTTTTAAGATACGAAAGAAGTAAGACATGTTTCTAAGAGAGTGTAAGAAGATTGTGTTAAGGGAATAGAGGACATACGGTTTTTCAACCTGTCCGAGCTACTGTCCGAGTTACTATCCTGCATTTATCCTGCAACTGTGCTGCAACTGTTTATTATATTACGAGTTATTCTTGGAATGTGTGATATATTATTCAATCATTGTGTGGATATTCACTGAATTTATGGAATTATGTTATATGGAATTTGTGAAGTTTGAAATTAAAGGCAATATTAAAGTGCTGGATCGAGTTGAAACTTTGATATCCTCTATCACCATTAATTAGACAATTTAAGAGTTCACATTAAAAGTTGAAAAACCCGTGAAAATCCGGATGTGAACCTAAGACTTGGACATAAAGAAGACTGTGTCTCCATTTGTGAATTGGCAACAGGATCCTGCAAAGTTCAAAACGGATTAACACAAATTGGATTTAGGACTCAAAGTTGAAGTAAGGTATTTTATTTTCTCAAGAAGTTGACTTTGTTAAGTAAATGTGACTTCAATGCGTGATAAAAGAACTTACGGGTAATAAGACGACCTGTTCGAGTATGGAAGTGTGAGTTTATTCAGAAACAGGCAAATACAGGAGGGATTATATTTCACTGGAATCGTGTATACACTGAATTGGATTTATCACATAGGATTACGGAATTCAAGAACTGTAAGTTACATCAAATATTGCAAGATTATTGGAACTGGTGTTGAATTGATTTGAAATCATGGCAAGTAGAACATTGAGCGATGCTGTTACGAGTGACAAAGAAAGGATTCATGAACCTGCAAGAAATGCTAAATCATTAATAACTGAATCAAGATTAAGAAAACAGACTGAAAAGGGCCAAAATTATGTTTTGAACATGGCACAGGATAAAATGAAATTCTTATACAAGCAGGTTTCTTCAAAGATAAAGGACATTGAATACTTGATGAGCTCTGATGCAGATTTGGATGCCGTCAAAAATGAATTTGAAGATTGGAAGGAATTATGTGACAAGTTTCAAGAATCGGCTAAAGCTTATCATGATAAACTTCATAGCCAATCAGCTAAAGACGAAGAAGCAGCTTGGTTCCAATCAAAGCTATGCACCTTTTCGCAATTTGAAAGAAATGTTACATCCTTCATTAAACATTACAGTACGGGAGATGACATTAGACCAGAAGATAGTGTTTCCCAAGTTGGATTACCTAAGGGTTCAGTAATCTCCTCTGCCTCCTCTGCCAAAATGGAGATCCTGGCGAAAAGGGCCGAACTTATTGCCAGACAAAAATGTTTAGAACGAAGACATCAATTAGAAGAAGAAGAAAACAGATTAAAACAAAGACGAGAAAGATTGGAACTTGAAACAGAAGTAGAAATTGCCGATGCCCAGTATGAAATTTTTGACCAGTATGACCGAGAATCACACAGTTCCCGAAAACCAGAAAGTTCACAAAGGTCCTTCAAGCCAGCAAAGACCCGAAATAAAGATTTGAACCCAGAAGCTGAAGAATTTACCCCTATTCAGAGTACAAACCTACAGGTTGGAGTCCACAATTCAAAATTTGATGAAGTCTGTAAGCAACAGAATGAGATAATCCAGCTAGTGGTAGAACACCAGAAACTGGCCACGCTACCCACTAGGAAGATTCCTGTGTTCAGTGGCGACCCTCTACAGTTTAAGCCCTTCATACGAGCATTCGAGCATGGTATAGAGGACAAAACCATCAATCCAAAAGATAGGCTCTATTACTTGGATCAGTACACCAACGGTGAACCGAATGACTTGGTAAGAAGCTGTCTATTCATGAATCCTGAAAGTGGCTATGAACAAGCCAGGTCACTGTTGGAGAAGAAATTTGGGAATAAGTACAAGTTAGCAACAGCTTACATGGACAAAGCATTGAAATGGCCGGCTATTAAGTCAGAGGACAGCGAAGCACTGAACAGCTTTGCTATATTCCTGACCAGCTGTGGAAATACCATGACCGATATAGACTATCTAAGAGAATTAGAACATCCAAAGAACCTCAGAGAGTTGATCCAAAAGTTGCCATATAAGTTAAGAGAAAGATGGAGAACAGTTTCGTTTAATATCTTGGAAAGAAGAAATGTCACTTTTGCTGACCTTGTTGGTTTCGTAGATAAACAAGCACAGATCTTGTCAAGTCCTTTGTTTGGCAATATCATCGACGATATCCAAGTTCAAGCAAGACCAAAGATGAAAGAAGCGCCAAAGAGATATAAGAGCTTTGCTACCGACACATCAAAGTCTGAATTAGGTCAAGAAACTGCCACCAGGGCACCCTACCCAGTTCACCCAAAATTGATGACATCTGGTCAGCCAACTGCAACTAGAGAAAGAACAGTCAACACGTCTAGAGCATTCATCAAGCCATGCTGGTTCTGCAATGAGGACCACACCATGGAAATGTGCAGGGGAATGCAGCGTAAGACGTTGGATGAGAAGATTGACTTCTTAAGACCAAAGGGCTTGTGTTTTGGCTGCTTACAATTTGGACATATGAGTCGCGAGTGCCCCAGCAGATTGACATGTCATATATGTAAATTGAGACATGCAACCTGTTTTCATGACAACAGCAGGGACAGAGAAAAGAAAGAAATGGACCAAACGAAGCCAAAGGTTGTCACAAACAACAGTTTGGCTACGAGTGAGAGCGGGGATCACAAAGACTTGAGCTTCATGCCTGTGGTCCCCGTTAGGATTAAAGTCAACTCTGGTAACAGATATGTCAAAACATATGCCTTCCTTGACAACGGCAGTTCAGCAACCTTTTGTACCAGCAAGCTGGCAGAGGAGCTCCAAGTCACAGGAAAGATGACAAACATAGTTGTCAGCACCATGACTCAAAAGAAAACTGTAAATACCTCCATCCTAACAAATTTAGAAGTTGGTGACATTGACGGAAACAATTGGGTCAAGCTGCCTTCTGTCTTTACACAGGATGAAATGCCAATTTCCACAAGCACCATCCCCAAAGAAAAGTTCATCCATCAATGGCCCCATCTACAGGACGTCACACTACCACCTATAGATGCGGAGATAGGACTCCTTATTGGCAACAATGTCCCAAGAGCAATGGAACCATATGAGATAATCAACAGCGATGGTAACGGGCCCTATGCAGTCAGAACCATTCTTGGATGGATTGTAAATGGGCTAGTACAGGAATCAGAGTCTCCCAGTGAGATCTCAGTAAACAGGACTGATGTTCTTGGAGACGAGAAATTGGATCTTCAGTTAATAGGATACTTCAACAGGGAGTTCAACGAGCGCATCAGTAATGATCAACCTGAGATGTCAAGAGACGACAAGCAATTCTTAGACATCATGAACTCCTCAAAGACACTGACAGGAGGACATTACCAGATGTCACTCCCATTCAAAGATGCCCAATTAGATTTGCCCAACAATAAAGTACAAGCTGAACAAAGAGCCATTTCACTAAAGAAGAAATTTAAGAAGAATGAAAACTTTTATGAAGACTACAAGGTATTCATGAAAGATCTCCTGGACAAAGACTATGCCCAGAAAGTACCAGAGAATAAGAAAGACCGTAAGGATGGAAAGGTGTGGTATATACCACATCATGGTGTGT